TGAACTCGTTACTTGTATCAAAGATGTCAAACTAATATGATAAGATTGATAACTAAGTTGAGCACGAAGCTCCTATCTAATGGCAGAAGTGCCAGTCTTATATAGAACCTTCTTGCTCGTTGATCATTATGATCACCCTGATCCCACTGATCCAGCTCAGCGTTGCTCAGTTGATCACCAATGATCAATGACGGTCACATGACTTCTATCAGATGAAATCCCTGGATCGCTTAGCTAGCCTAAGCATCCCTATTTGCTATAAGAGTGTGTTGATGGTGCTTAACCTGTCAGGACGCCGCCTGGTCTTTACTTATCACATGCCAACACGTGATTCGTGACACAGGGGTAGCGGCAGTAGTAGTAGTAGTAGCCGCGGGAGCTATACTATATAATATTAGTAAGGTATAGTAGTATTTAATTAGATTAAGAACTAATACTTAGTAGTAGAGTTAAGGGAGGGGGGAGAGGTAAAAACATGGCTACTTCTAGTAGTATAGTAGGTAAGGGCGGTAGTAGCGGCCTTAAATAGACCCCTAAAGGAGGGGATATAGCTATAAAACTATACGAAGAGACTATACTAAGAATATATCTTAGTTAGTAGTAGTAGTAGAAGTAGGAGTTAGTAGTAGTAGTTATTACTATTATTAGTATTATTATTATTATTATTATAAATAGTAGGGAAAGATAAGGTTTTAAGGGTATAAGGAATTAATATACTAGTTAAGATTAAGGTTCTATACTAGTATAGGTTACTATAGCTATTTACTTACTATTATTTATGGCTTAGTGTACTAGGTAATTATAAGAGTAGATAGTAAGTTAGTATTCTTCTTCTTTAAAAGTAAGGATAGGAGATAGAGGTAAAGATAGATAGTATATATAGGCGAATATTATAGGCTTACTTAAAAATAGAAGGGAGTATAAAGTTTACTACCTAACCTTAAGTTAGTAATATAATTAACTAGTAGTAATACTAGGGAATAAATAATATAATTTTTAAAATTAAGTATAATATAGTAGGTAGTTGTGACGAAACTCAAACTATCTGACAAAGGTAATCGTTTCGACGGTTGGTATGCGGGTAAGAAGTACAGATGCGCCGGGTTGTTTACTCGGAGGTAAACTCGTCACTTGTTAACAAAGAAGTAATAACTTAATAACTAGATTGCTAAACTAAGTTGAGCACGAAGCTCCTATCTAATGGCAGAGGTGCCAGTCATATATAGAACCTTCGTTCTTCTGGAGCTTGGAGGGAGCCCAAGATCCTCAAGCTCCAACCGAAACTCCTGCAAGCTCCAACGGTCATGTGACCATGTCATGTGATACTAACCAAGAGAAATCCCTGGATCGCTTAGCCAGTCTAAACGATCCCATTTGCTATAAGAGTATTCAATAGTGCTTGACCTGTCAGGACGCCGCCTGGTCTTTCACTTGTCAAGTGAGCATGTGATTCGTGACAGTGGTTAGGCTATATACGCTATATTATTAAAATAGGAGTTTTTTATATTAGAGAAGAAGGATAAGGGAGAGAGTAGAATTCGTAGGTTTTTAGAATCTAGTATAATATAGAGGGTAGTAGGGTAGTATACGCTAGGTAATTAAAATAGGAGTCTTTTATATAGATTAAGAAGGTTAGGAAGAGGGGAAAGAGCTTTATAGTTTTTAGAATTTAGTATAATATAGAGGGTAGTAAAGCGATATAAGCTATATAGTTAAGATAGAGGTCTTTTATATAGGATTTAAAAGGAGGAGAGGAGAGAGGAAGTCTATAGTTTTTAGAATTTAGCGTAATATAGAGGGTAGTAGGGCGGTATATACTAGGTAATTAGAATAGGAGTCTTTTATATAGGATAAGAAGGTTAGGAAGGGGGGAGGAAGTCTATAGTTTTTAGAATTTAGCGCGATATAGTAGGTAATAGGGCGATATACGCTATATAGTTAAAATAGAGGTCTTATTAATCCTATATATTAAAAAGAAGGGGAGAAGAGAGATAGTTAGTAGTTTTTAGAGTTAAGTATAAAATAGAGAGTAGTAGGGCTTTATATACTATAGAGTTAAAATAAAGGTCTATTATAAAGTATATAGTAAGTATAAGTAGTTTTTAAAATCTAGTATAATATAGGGTATAGTAGGGCTATATACGCTATATAATTAAAATAGAATCCTTTTATAATATAAGGTAGAAAGAGGAATTCTTATAGTAATAATTAGATAGAGAGCGTAAATCGCGTATTATAGTACTTAGACTTAGTAAAGGGATATAGTTTATTATTCTTAATATTTTAGAATACTAAAATTTAGATTATAAAAAGAATAATTTTTTAAAAAGTATATTAATTTTAGAAAGTCGGTACTATACTAACTCCGAAGTTAGTATAAATTTAGTATAGTAATAGTTAGTATAAGTATACTACTACTTTTCGTGCTTTTATAGGGTTAGTATTACCAGTAAAGTAATAGAATATAGTATAACTTTATTTAGTTATATTACGTATAGGGTATAATAGAGTATAGTATTATAGCTAATATATCTAAGTATATACTATACTATCTAAGATAGTTTTATATAATCGCCCTTCTTTCTATCCTAGGATCTAATTATATTAATAATTCTTAAGTATAAAGTAGAATCTATACAGCGAGGTACTATACTTTTAGTAGTAATTATAGTACTTAACTCGCTAAGTACTCGAATAACTTATATTATTCGAGTAGTCCGGGATAAGACTACTCGAGTTCTCGTAGCGCGCCCGGGAACGTAGAATCTATTTATATACTTAGACTTAGCCGAGTATATATTATAATGAAATCTCTTCTTTAAATACCTAGATATAAAGTTAATTATTAAATATATATATATATATGTATATTATTAATTATCCCCTTAGCTACGGCTAGGAGCTCCGTAAATTATCGCTTATAGGGGGTAGAATACTAACTCTTTTAATATCTATATTTACTTATTACTTACCCTCTATAATACTAAAAGATTTATAACTAGATATAAAAGATCTAGCTACTTACGGTCTATATATTCTACTATTAAATTAGCCCGAAAAACGTATTTCGACTATAATAGTACTAGTACTAGTTTATACTAGATATTACGCTTTAAAAAGAAGTATATTAGATCTAATTATAAATAAAAGTATAAAAGCGATAATTATATATTAAATCTACTACGTTTATAGTAGATTTAATAATTATTTATATAAAAGAAGGCGGTTGTCTTATAGTTTTTACTAAATATAGTTAAAACTAGTATAAACACAGGGTCCTATTAGATCGCTTAGAATTCTTGGCACTGCGCTTAGGCCACGGAGCTCCTAGCCGCAGCTAAGGGGATAGACGAGCGACTTGTAGGCCTAGGAAGTATTAAGAGGACCATATTATTCTTGACGGGAGGGACATATAATGGCACTGAATTTATTGTACTACGAATTCAGATCCATACAGCATATACTCTGCTAAGGCTGGCATCGGTGTAAATCTATTCCTCCTGGTAAGACACCTTTCTCATCTCTCCAAGCCTCTTGCGGGCCGCATTCAGGCTATTTTCAAGTTGTAAGATTTCAACCTGCAAAATTGTTAGTCTACAATACTGTGGGGACAGATAGAACACAAACCTGCTGCTGCATCTCTTGAATCTTGAACTCATGAGACCCAAGCTTGGCATAATCTACTTCATCATCTGCGCCACCACCACGATCTTCGATCATGGCCTGAACTTGCCTAACGAGCGAACGACATGCAGTACCCACGGCTTTACTGGCTTGCTCCAGAGATTCCTGACTTTTACTCATGAATCCCGCTTTAACCCTACTAGCTGCCACCAACTGGGCGGTAGATCCTGCTACATTGTTGGACGCGACAATCAATTGCTCTGGAGAATTGCGCCCGGATAAAACGCCATCTGCAGTTTCAATCAATGTGTTGGTGGAAGAAGCAACAGCCTTAGCAGCGGAGATAAGTCCCTCCGTCCAGCGGTTGTTCTTTTTGTAAAAAGATGTTTTATCGCCTGAGCCGCGACCTGCTTGGACAATTTCCTGTTGGGTAACTGTTGCTGCCTTGATCAATCTTGCAATGGCAGTAGTCACAGCCATGGCTGCATCCAGTATTGAGTCGTGAATGCGCAGCTCATAAGTCGAATAGCCATCTTTTGGCTTGGATTTCAGCTTGGCAAGACGCGCTGCAGCTGCACTAATTGCATCAGCGGCTTTGTTCAACTCGCTATCCACTAAGTCCCCCAAGTCGCCTTTATTGTTCATGAGTTTGCCGCTGTTTGGTGCGAAGCTATCGACAAGTTTGTTTAAGCCTTGGAGGTTCCTGTGAACCTCGCCCATAAGACCGATGACTGTTTCGAGTTTTTGAACATCATCCATGTCGGCCAACCGATAACTCTGCAGGTTACGGAAGAATCTAACCGTTGCTTGTGCCGACTGACGTGCCCCGTTTACGAGTTGGTCTGCCTTCTTATCGTCTGTAGCGAGTCTCGTAAGACCTTTGGTATTGCTAAGAACATCTGATATGGAGCTAGAAAAGACGTTGACGGTGCGTATAATCTCAGCATGGCTACTGCTTGGGCCATCAGCGATAAAATTGTTGAATGCTGTTGCGAATTCAGTGGTAGTTGTAGATGCCTTTTCAATCTGCGATAGGACATATGAAGGTGTCGCATTCTGATTACCCGCTTGCATCGAGGAGTCCAGTTCGTACAAAGCATCATCGACTCGCTGGACTCCACTTTGTAGAACGGAGTCGATAATATCATTGATCTTATCAATGTTGGACAAGAGCATAGCATCGATCTCACCATCTAAAGCCTGGTCGGTTGCGCCCTTTGACATCTCTAACTCGTTAAGCTTCAGCAACGATTCCTCCCAGCCTTGTTTGTAAACCTCCAATTCGGCTTCCTTCTCGCTCAACAAACGCTCGGCATCTGAGCCGCCCTCGCTGTATTTCGCATGAATTTCGTCGAGTGCCCGAGACTTTTTCCGAAGTGCCTCCTCAAGATCTGACATCTCGCGGTTGTATTTGGAGAGCATGGAAGAGAGTTCATTGCCCTTGCTCCGCTCTAAATTATCCGCTCTATCAAGAGCCATCCTCAATTCTCGCTTCAATTTCTCAATTTCCTCACGGTTGCCTCCCGTAAGGCGGTCCTTGTCATGTAGAGCTCTGTCTCTCTCCCGAATCATGTCAGCTAACTCTAGATTCTTCGTCTTGATCTCCCGCTCCAGCTTTTCTCGCTTATCAATGGCTTCCTGGGCGGAGGCGGCCTTGAGTTGTACACCTTTAAACTTTTGCAGAAGATCCAAGTGCTCATGGCGAAGCTGGGAGTACAGTTTTGCGAGTGCTTCGTATTTTGTTCGCCACGTGTTCACTTGCTCCTGAAGTGCTCGAATCTGATCATCTTTACTTCCTAATTGTTGCCCGTAATTGTTCTGCAATTGCGAAAGCTCGTTCTCCAGGGCTTTGATCTTCTGGTCATACTGTTGCAACATGAGCTGATCTTGAGCATACTGGGCACGTGCAGCAAGGTTCTCCTGCTCCAGCTGGGCAAACTTTCCTTGCGTCTGTTGTTGGTATTGTTGTGCTAGCAGCGCCTCATGCTCCCGACGTTGTTGCTCTGCCAGTTGGCGCTGCTGCTCTTCAAAATCACGCTGTGCTTGGAGTGCTGCCTGTTGCTGAGCATAAATTTGCTGGGCTTGGCGTTCTTCGAGAACCCTCTGTTGCTCCTCATATTCTCGATTTTGACGAGCTTGCTCGTTCTTCCAAAATTCTCCGATGTCGTCAGGCTCCTCTATCTTCGGAGCAGGTGGAGGTGTTATTTGTCGCTCAATCTCCTGCTTGGGTCGCTGTGGTAATCGAGGGGCGGATTCGTCTTCGGAGAGAAGGTTTGGAGGGTCTTGAGGGAGTTTGGGTACAGTAATAAGACTCGTCAAGTAACGGAGATTGGAACATTCATAATAAAATTTTACAAGGCGATAATGTTGTGCATCGTATCTACTCCTCAACGGCTCCAGGGCGTCATCATCACCAGTGGCTACATGTTGTCAGGATAATAGAGGCCTTAGGTTATTGAAAAGATGGCGAACTTACTTGTATGCATAGCACGCAACATGCTGGTGATAAACTTGTAAATACCGTAGCTTTCTTGTACCAACGGGACGAGTGCTGATATCCTGCACTCATTGTTTCCACCCCCCCGGAAATGAGAAAATATCAACTTCTGGAATTGCTCTATTCGATCTTGAAGTTGCATCAAGTCCGAAATGGTTTCATAGCCCTCATTTGGGTCATTAATACCTTTGAGACTGATATATTCTTCATACTCAAAAGTGCCATTGAAGTCAGGATGCTGGCTGTGAAATGACAGCTTTGCGAGGAGAAAGTTCACGTATTCTCTGATCAAGGGACCGTAGCCACGCAAGCCCTCTCCAGACATTCCTCTGTTCAGACTATCAATCCAATTCCGATTTGCCATGGCTTCCCGCAAAGTTGAGGGATGGCCTTCTTGTAGAACCTTGTGCACTGTGATTAACGCCTTGAAAGTCTGTACTTCATCTGCAAGTATAGGCTGCCTATCCATCTTTGAGATCAGTATGTTGTTTTTTGGGGTCAACAAACGATGAAGCTGCAAAAGTCCAATGCCACGACAAGGGGATAACTTCTAGAACTAGCTTGTGGCCAGAGCCTTTGGGCAAATGTGTATCCGGAACATAACAGCGGACGTGGAGAACTAACACTTTCATGCCGGCCCAAAAGGAGCCCGAGGATTTGTGATCCCATGTGTAGACAATGCAACTCCGAACATGTTTGCGCTTGGGTGCGGTTTCCTCAATACTTGTCGCTTTGCGGATGTTGATGGCAAGCTCACCGTCCGACCTGCATCGCACATAGATCAGTAGGTGTACAAATGATACTGCTCAGCAGGAAAGGAAATGTTTAGACTGACTTGGATTGGTTCACATTTCTCGTTGTAGGAGCATACTGCAGAGAAGACATCTTGAGAAGCGCTTAACGCGCAGCAGCGAAGGCCGCAAATACCAATACGCAGATGAGAAAAGAGCGTTCTGCAAAATCGCTGAACAAAGAATAGAGGGGAACCCGTTGAAGACAAGCCTACGACAGACTGGTAGGTAGGGAGTAAGTCCTTAAGCACGTAGTGTAAAGACGATGGATGGTATAATGCTGATGCTGATGCAGATGGGTGTCTATGAGGTGGAGTCTGCCAAGGCTGTGTGACCCCAGCTCGCGGCTCAGCTAGGGAGCTGCGTAATGTGGCGCAAAATTTACGATCCTGCACGCGTAAAATTAGAATTGGGAATGCTAGTCGAGGTACTCGTATGGAGGTACTGTACGAGTAATACTAGTAGTGAATAAATACAATGTCTAGGATCAACTAGGAAATTTCCCATAGAACAGTCCCAAGGAAGGACTATGTTTTCATTCTAAATATATCACAAGGCAGTGCAATTAATCGCATCAAATTAAGTGAACAGATGAATATTGTACATTCACCAGCATGTAAGTGGACACACCTATCCATTTTCCGAGTTTCTACGAGTACACGTATTGCTTCAGAACTCCTGGTATCCAGCAGTTATCCAAGCAACATCCCATTCCAGTGTGCTCAATTTCCAGAAACTCCACCCAGTATACTTGCTCTATCTACCATAATGATTAAGTACCGATTCATACCAATTCATACCAATTCACTTCCCTAACGCCTGAAACCCCTCGCAGCCCAAATAATTTGGAGAAGGATAACCAGATACTATACATTCCCAAACTCCTGGTTTCATGCGCCTGTGGAGCTCTATAATGATCGAATCCTTTCCGAAATCGATGCGCCCCAACGCCCATTTATACTCCCCCATCCTCACCAACAAAAGTGCTCTTCGCCCTGGCCTCCTCTTCCTGGGCTGCCATCCAAGAAGGGAGTTGATGGCTGTCCTCTTCAGGGCTACTAGAAATAACTCTGTGTGGATTTCTGCGTCTGGGTAAATGAGGAGGTGCTTGTCCCGTACTAGCACGGGCAGCTGCCGCAGGTTCTTGATCCTCTTCGAAGCCATCTTCAACCCACGGTTGCTTGTAGGAAGCTGTGTTGTCTGCTATTGGAGTTGTTGGTGCCGAGTCCCCCATATCTCCGATTGGCGCAGTAACAACAAGCAAGCTATCCGATGTATCTTTCAAGTCTTTTGGATTCTCTCGGCCGCGCCTTTTTGGAAGAGGCGGCGGTGGAACAGGGCTGGTCCGCGTATGAGAAGTACTTTCGTTCGATTGGTGATTGATGCCCAGATTCCTTTGAGACATCGCTGGCGGTGGCATTGCCTTGCGCTTAGGGACGGGAATCGGTGCAGTTTTTGATTTTCTATCGGGATGCGGCAGCGGCACTCCTGGTGGCGGCAAAGGTTGTCCCCTACCCAGAACAAGTGGACGACTTCCTTTTTCTGGCTCTTCCATAGTGCCGTCCAATTTATTGTCACCCTTCCTTTGAATAGCGCTCCATCCCCAATTTTTTGCTGTAGTAGCGGCACTGGTCACGGCCGCAAGAGAAAGTAGTTTCGTCTCGGCTGATTTAGCAGACGACCCAGACGAGTCTTCATGGCGACGATCCCATGGGAAAGACCCAAAGGATCTGGCCTGAGTGGCTTCTGATCGCATAGAGCTTGCTGAACTAGGAGAATATGTACTGCCGCTGACGTCTGATATAGATTCAGGGGGTTGGGGGGTCATTTGGTGTAGCGAGTGTAGCGATTCCGACTCCGAGGGTTGATAAAGCGATTCTGACGAAGGGTGAACAACCGTTTCAAGCCGTGAAGCTTGTGATGGTGAGCCTACTGGTGCCTGGGCAGGTGAAGTTGCTTGTGAGAGGGCCGACATGGCCGCCACTGCAGTAGCAGCATGATTTTTCTCGGGCGGAGATGAGGGTTTAAACACATCTGCATTTACGCTATCGGTGCCAACTATTGGTGATGAGGTGCCCACAAAAGAACCGGATCGAAGAGCCCTCGGCTTCTCGTGCGTTGAAGCTTGTGTTTCGACGCTAGTTGAAGAGCTATTGGCCTTTATATTGGTGAGACTTATGGCTGTCCTCGCGCCTTTCCGCTGTTGAATTGTGGGTGTAGGGGAAGCATCAATATGTGGCATGCTCAGGCTTTTTTCCATTTGTGGTAAAGCCATGACAGGCTCATTTTGTGTCGTTTCCAGAACTTCTACTTCCTCCACATTACCATTCTGAGCTACTAAGCTTTCGGGGTCATGAGGTGTGGTCGTTCTGTCATCGGCCCATATGCCACCCCTCCACAATTTACCTTCACTATTGTAAAACGGTGAATCATCCCAGTTAGGATAGACTAAACTTTCAGCCACAACCTCCTTGATCCGGTTTTCAATCTGTCGCAAAATCAAAGTGTAGGTTATCTGTCTTGAACTGACAATTGGTTCCACAGACATATCAATCTTCGGCATCGTTTCAAATGTTACCCAAAACCGATTGGAAGGTGATGGTTTGATTCTCAGCATGACATGGCCTTCCACCCTTTTCACCATCACCGCAAGAAGCAAATTCACTTCTCGGGCTTTAAATCGAGAGCCGAGTTCAATTCGCGCGACAGCCGCTACCTCAATTCTGAAATTACCTGAGTATCGACAATCCGCCTCAACTATCAATTCTCCGTCGACCGTAAGCTCTTTTAAACGGGGGTTGATCAACACAGGTGCGGCCTCCCCGAGATTTATATTTCGCAAAGCAATCTGAGATAGGAATGAGGGCGTTTTGACTCGCGATATCTTCTTGGTAATTTTGGCTCTTATATAATCCTCGACTTCCGAAGTTCTGTACAGAGCCAAAAATATTCTGCCGACAATGGCGTTGAGCCATCCTGTTTGTAGTTGATCCTCGGAGGAATGCAGTCTTTGAACCAACTTAATTATATCCTTCACGTCGTGTTGTAATGGTTTTGGCGGGTTGTTCAAGGCGTCCGGCCGTCGCTCTTGATTTCTGAGCATCGCAAAGTAAAAGTCCTCTTTCTCTGAGCAGTTTTCGGAAAACAGAAAGAACGGTTTAGAAGCCTTGCCATCGGGCGTAAGTTCCCCTGCATCTACTTTGCGAGAAAGGCACAGGGCGTTTCGTTTAATAAAAAGCTCCCCCTCCGGTGTTTCGTCTCCACCTGAGTAAATACTCACATTATGGTGAGCTAGTGAAACCACATGCCGGACTTCAATTTGGTCATCGTCGTCAAATAGAATGAGGTGGCCGTGCCTGAATGTCATTAGCTTTGGGTCTGCGTGTTATTCCCAGTCCAAGTGTCATTGTGAGACTAAGTACCGTAGAACGACGTAAAATACATTGCCGCTTCTATTCGGGGGCCGACCATTACCCTTCTTATCCAACGGGCTATTATTTTGCTTCCGTTCGAAAACGCTGCGGTAGATGCTCTGGTAAACACTAGGGCTCGGCGCAATCACTGCTGTCGAGCCTACTGGTGTGGATCGCTCTGGTGGTTTACCTCCAGCACCTCCAGGAATGTACTCTCGGCAGACCGCAAAGTAGCCTGCTGCAACATCGGAATCGTGGCCATCTCGAGGCAACCATTTTTTATCGAGGCTTTCTTGCGCATTTTTTATCGCATCGATATCGTCCCCGGGGCGGGTGATGGACTCCGAATTGGTGACAGGAATGCTGGTGTGATGAACGGTTGGAAGAGCAAAATAGCTGTGAATGAGCACTGTAAACAGAAGCAGTGGGGGTAAAGTAATGCCTCCAAGGACATAAATGAGAAGAAAGCTCAAGAGACCCATAATTGAGATGGCATGGAGATCTCGACGGAGAGAAGACGATGTCGCTGCCGATAACGAGCAGGCTTCTGGAAAGGCTAAGAGTAAGGCTAAGAGAGTAGGTATTGTAGATAAGGCTGATCCCGAGGTCCCGCTACCTAGTAGGTCACGTGAAAATCAACACATTCTAGGTACTCCGTACCTACGTACTTGTAGGTACTCGAGTAGGTATACCTTAATGTTTAATCTTAGCTTAGGGTAGATATTTAGCTGATTTGCTAATTTTAATTTTCAACAGTCTCTATCTCTCTCGCCAAATTCTAGATATAATCCCTCTAAGACCGGCTCGATAACATGTCTCTCAACCTCCAATTTCGACCTTAATCTCCTCCTCGTATAAAATACAGGACAGTCGAAACTCCGACACCTGATCTCATCACCGGCCATACTAATCCCCTCGCAATTCCTGCATATCTGTTCCAGATCCTGGTGCATTCTTTCTTGCGCGTTAAGTCGAGTGCGGAGGGTAAGAAGACTGTGTGGCATTTGATGGAGGCATGTTGGGCAAATTGGTAGAAGAGGTCTATTGTTGGTGAGCGGAATAGGTGATGGTAGAGGAAGACGTGATTTGCAGACGATGCAGGATGTGTATTTTAAGTAGGATTCCAGAGTCTTTTTGTTTGCTGCTGCCAGCGCATTTATGTTGGCATTGGCGGGGTTTGAAATGGATTGAACAGCACTTGGATCAATTCTCCTAACCCGTTGGAATTTAGGCATTTCATCATACCACCCCCTCACGTTTGCACCCACGACGTTGAAAATCCTCTCCAGCGGCGGTATCAAGTTTTGTGAAATGTAATATTCAGCATCCAATTCTACACCCTCGTTTTCCAGCAGCCCCTCTGGAGAAACACAGCGGTCTATGAGACGGGCTCCTGGAACACCGGTAACAACCACATATGGGACCCGTTCTCCATATTGGGGTTCCGCCCGAGCGTCTTCCAACATTCGTTTTGTACTGATGAGCGCTCCCGGGGGAGGAGGTCCTTTTTCGCTGTATGTTCCCAGTTTTACTTCTTTCGCAAAACAAAAGTCTTGGATGGAGATTGAGCCTTTCATAATTTTCTCGCATTGTTTCTGAAAGTAAGACTTTACTTGACTCAGATCTGCAGTTCGGAAGAGAATTTTCAAGGCCTTTTCTTCAATCTTCTGTTCTGCGGGTGTGCCATCTCGGCGCACAGTTTCTATGCCCTTTGCGTCGAAGTCGGGCTCTTTCTGACTTCTGTACTCGTACTTGAATCCTACGTATCGTTTTTTGGCGAGCAGTACACAGGGAAGGTAGACTTTCTCGAATTTGAGTTTGATAGGTCGCGGGTTCATGTCTGTTATTGTCTTGGCTATTTCTTCTCCAATGTCAAAGGCCTCGTCTTTGGTGCGGCCCTTTAAATAGACGAAGAGACTGTCTGTATCTCCGTAGACTACCTCTGCCCCCCAGCGCTTAACGGAATGTATGAGTGCAATAGCTCTCTCGAGGGTCTCTCGGCCTGTTTGGACGATGCTATCCGCGATCTCAGAGCAAGGCATACGACCAGAGAAGGATGCAGAAGTGTAGCCATAAGTGACGTTGGCTATGAGTTTGAGTGCAAGTTGTCTGTTATTGAGTAACCGCTGAACTGTCTTGTCATCTTTGTCGGCTTGCATTCCGCTTTTGATCATCACTCGGGTTTCCAAGATCTCACCCAGCATTTTCGCTAGAAGAGATTTACGAATTTCAGGTTTGACATACATCATACCATTTGGTGCGATATTGATATAATCCTTGAGAAGCTCTAAAAGGCGCTGTTGCCTCTTGTATTCCGTAAATCCCATTTTATTCGTTCCCCTCCAGTTGACTATTCGTCCCAAAAAGGTTGAGTAACAGTAATTGTAAGCAATCATAACACTTGGGTACAAGCTTTGAAAATCCAAAACCATTAAAGGGCTATTATAAAAAGCACTTTGTGGTTCCATAACCAAAGGCAAGCATTCCAGAGCATTTTGACTGCCGACCTGCTTCCGACTAGGAGATACCAACATGAAGTTTTCAGGTTTTGCGATTCGAAACATTAGCGATTCCACTTTGAACTGAGATCCTCGAGAAAATACAGAGAAAAAATCAACTCCGAGGACTCGAGCTTGTTCACAGTTCCTTTCAATTAGCTCATTTTGCTCCAGGATTTCCAAATCAATCTGAACTTTGGAGATGTAATGGCTAATGATTTTTCCGAGATTTCCGGGCTTTTGATTGGTGTACCACGATGTCAGGTCAGCCCAAGTGTAATGAGGAATTCGACGATGCAATACGTGAAATGCCACATTTTCGATGGTGTACTGAAGTAGATTTAATTCTCCACGCATAGCTCGCCAGATATTGATCACATGCCTTCCAGTGATTCGAATCGTCGAAGAAGTATTGAAGCCCCATTTATCATTGTCTTTCCCAAATCTTCCAAAGGATTGGGATATCGTACGCGAAAACTCATCGCAGAGATTATACTCATACTTCAAACGGGCTCTTCCAATTAAATACCCCCAGGATCCACCATGGACTTCATAGCCTGTAAGGATATCTGGGTCATGACTTCGTACGATTTCAACCACTCGTATCATAAGGTCGAGCTCTGAATCCTCAGCCACCACTTCTATACCACTTTGTCGGGTTATCTTCTGGGATGTGTTTCCGTCATCAGATAGTGCTACAATTCCCAGGTATGAATTTTCAGTGGCACAATTATTCTCAAGATCTTGATCCTCAGACTGAAGGCACCAGAATATGCATTGGATCTGATCCTCCTCGGGATTTGGAACTAGGTTGCCTCGTGTGTTGACATGTATCTCGAGACTCATAGTGCTCATATATTGTGATTCGTGCTTGACACTGGTCATCTTTTTCTTTTGCATAAAATTGAACCCATGTTTGTGTTTCTGTGTTGGGCCTTCAATCTGAGAAAGCTTTCTCACAGCTTGAGCACTAGCAAAGTTTTGCCGTTTAGATACTTTTTTCGCTGCTTCTACCTGTGTGGCACCTTCTTGCTCTCGAGCCCACTCCACAACTTCTCGATAGGATGGCGGTTGCTCAGCGATAGCCCAACTTCGTAGGTAGCACTTTTGCCGTTGCAGCTGATAGGTCCTTTCTTCATTGACACGATCTGGGACAATGTGTGGCCTATCCCCGAAATATGCAATGGATGTTCCAGTTGGGTCAAATCGTGGAAGAAATGGGACTGTCAAGCTTTCGAGCTTGAACTCTCTTCCAGCCCACTCTCTCGGGCGATCAGAGGTATCCTGCTCGTTGCTATAGTATGCATCTTGATAGATGACTTGAGGTAATGCGAATTCCTGTATCGTTGATACAACAAACTGTCGAGCTGGAGGGGGGTTTCCAATAATGAGAAAAGTACCACAATGTGCTTCAAAGTTTGCTTTTATGTGATGTGTAGCGGTGTTTCTCTGGCGTATTTGCCCTATGGATTTTGTCTGAGAAGCGGGCATGAGATGTGACGTTTCTTTCTGGGAAGGTGGCACGACACTTTCAATAGGAAAGGGCATTCCTTGAACTTGTTGGCTTAATTGAAATCCGCTCTTCTGACTCAATCTCGAAATGGTGGTCGGCTCAAGGGGGTCTTTTACGACAGGAAAACTCAGTGGTAGAACTGTGCTCTTTTGATTGCCTTGAACTCCTTTTGGAAGCTCGTGTGCTGATGCTGTATTTAGTGAAACTGCCCTAAAGCCAATCCCGTTCACAGTAGGAAGCTTGGCTGTTTTCGTACGGGGGGTAGGCTTCGAGATCTTTTGTAACAGTCTTGTTGTTGGCTCCTCCTTTTGCTCTGCTAGAGATAGCCTTAAGCTTGCACCCCGTTCAAATAGGTCCGATGATATCGTTGTAGGAGACTCCGCGAAGCCGATCGAGATTTTTGCGCGCTTTGTAGGAAAGTCGTCTTTTTGGGTAGGCGACCCAGGCCGCTTGAAGTCGCGGTAGGAACATAATGAATTGTCGAAAGTATCCCGGGCGTTGTTGACAGCTGGGCATCCATTGCTACTGCTCCTATAAGATGGTCCTCCACTAGACTCTTCGCAATTTTTGTTTGAATTGCCAGATTTCTTGAGATCTTGATTCTGTTCTCCCAATTCCCCGAACACCTCTGTATGTGTCTCTTCAACCCGGTCCCCTTTCTTCCTCTGAGAAGAGATGATCTCCGCCATAACTTCTTCATCGGAATCATAAGGAAAGTCATCATCGTTATCAGCATCAAAATCCAAAATCCGCTTCTCGTCGACTTCTGTCTGATCCTCCCTATCGTCTCGATCGTACCCAACAGGCGCCAACCCCAAGGCCAGGCGCAATTTCTCTGGATATAGGTCTTCGACAGATTCTAGACTCGACTTAATGGAAGAGCTGAAAGGCGCCACTTTCACAAAATTGTCAAAATATACCTTGACACTATCACTTTTGTCTTTTTCCTCTTTGATAAGAGAAGCCATCAATTCTCGATATTCCTCTTCATGGACCCAGCCTCCGGGTTGAGAATTACGCGGGTCAGCGGACATAGATACCATTACTTCCGGTGGGAATGGACTGTTTCCTGGACTTGCGTTTGACATTTTGGCATTTCGCCGACGAGTTTCTTCTCTCCAAAGCCCAGCCATGCTGTGAACGAGTTTTTCACCAGTAGTTATAGGATTCAACCGTTCTATGAAGTCGTGATGAAGCGGACGCGCCTTTATTTCTTGTCTATTGATGATATCTTGAAGGCATATATCTACCTCGATGGAGCAGTGACTGACTCTTGGAAATTCAGGCTCCGGGGTGATAAAGTCATTTGGAATCGATCTATCATGCCAAAGATGAGAGGGATTTTTCAGATCTTCATATTGGGGTATGGGACTTCGAAACGTGACTTTTCGGCAATCAATATAGCCACACCCATACAAGTTGTAATCTGCCATCCACTGCAGCAAATATTGAAGATGAGCTTCATATGGCTGGAAAACCTTTTTCATAATAACACCCTGCCTCAGCAGGTCTGCTAATCGTGTCATGAATTTGGGATTCAGCATGTAGATTTTCAAATAATGCTGGTAACCAACATGAAAACCGTAGAATGGAATGCCTTTGACCAGTGTGATCCGAGCGACAAATTTTGCCTTCTCATCCTGGGGCTTTCGCCTGTAGCTGACGGCAAGGGCATAGTCGATGGAGAGATGAAGACGGTGTATGTAAGCTCCAACTGGCGTCGTGTTAACAATACGAAGGGGGACTGCATAGATTATTGATGTCCTTACCCTCATCTGGAACCAGTTTTCCGGTGTACTCAATGTAGAGGTACGGAAATGCGCCATGAACATGCGCACATACTTTCTGGCCTGTCTCAGTCGCACCAAAAACTCGAATCACCGGAACCTTGGGCTCTTTCTGGAGCTGAGAGAGCTGGACATTGGCACGGAGGAGGGGATCAAGTCGCGTGGGGGGCGCTTGATAGAAATCGATGCAGTTTAGGCGTACACGGAACGAATCCATGGCTTGCTTGGCATCATTATGCTACCTGTGCAAGTCAAAGGCAAGGGCAAGAGATGAGGTGGAAATGGACATAGTGACTGTGAGATATCATGATCAGAGAATGAGAATGCGCCCGACGCGCGATTCATCTCACGTTGTCACGGGATCGACCCGAGGTTAAACTACCTAGGTAAGAGCACCTTAAGTGCCACGCCACTTCAATCCCCAAGACACCACTTTAAAGCAACCGCAAATACAACCACAAAACAACATGCCTCCAGCTGGCGCCCAACCCCGTAAACCTGCTGCTCCCTCAGCAGCCAATAAGGAAGCCAACGAATATATCCCATCCTTCATCTCCAAGAAGCCCTTTTATATCGGCGACGACGACGAAGACTCCTCCAAAAACGACTACCTCGAACACCAACGTCTTCAGAAAGCGCAGTCCGACCAATCCAAATGGTACGATCGGGGCAAGAGAGTCGGCCCAGCCGCGACCAAGTTCCGCAAAGGCGCCTGCGAAAACTGCGGTGCCATGACGCACAAGACGAAAGAATGTCTAAGCCGGCCGCGTGCCAAAGGCGCGAAGTGGACTGGGAAGGATATTCAAGCCGATGAGCTGGTACAGGATGTCAATTTGGGGTGGGACGCGAAGAGAGATCGCTGGAACGGGTATGACGCGAAAGAGTATACGCATGTGATTGAGGAGTTTGCGCAGATGGAGGAGTTGAAGAAAATTGCGCACCATGCGACAACTAAAGAGGACGAGGATGAAAAGGGAGAGGATGGTGTGAAATATGCAGAGGAGTCGGACATGGGGAGACAGCAGGCTACTTCGGCAAAACAGCTGCGCATTCGAGAGGACACGGCGAAGTATCTCCTCAACTTGGATTTGGACTCTGCGAAATACGATCCCAAAACTCGGTCTATGGTAGATAGTGGTGCGACGGTGGATACAGCTGCCGCTCTGGTAGCAGAAGAAGGTTTCATGAGGGCCTCTGGAGACGCCGCTGAATTCGAGAAGGCGCAAAAATACGCTTGGGAGTCGCAAGAAAAAGCTGGTGATACGAAACAACATCTTCAAGCTAATCCTACAGCAGGAGAATATCATCGAAAGAAAGAGAAATTGGAAGCGGAGGCGAAAAAGGCGGCGCACAAGAAGATGCTTTTCGAGAAATACGGAGAAGATGTCAATCCACTCGCAGCCAAGCTCCGAGAAACTGCTGTCCTAGAATCCGAGAAATACATCGAGTACGATGAATCAGGCGCCATCAAAGGAGCTCCTAAAACCAAAGCCAAGTCAAAATACCCCGAGGATGTACTGATCAATAATCACACACTCACATGGGGAAGTTGGTGGGCGAATTTCCAATGGGGTTACGCGTGCTGTCACTCCCTGGTCAAAAATAGTTACTGTACGGGTGAGGAAGGAAAGGCTGCTTTTGAAGAAGCCTCCGGTATGCGATCTGGTGGAGCTCTGAATGGTGAAGCACCCGCAAAGGAGATTGAGTGGCCTCCAAATGCCGCTGATAATTCAGATAGGGAAGAGGTCAGTCCCCAGGCTAGCAAGAAGCGGACAATAGAAGAGATGAAAGACCGTGTTACTGAGGAAGATATGGACATCTACAGGAGAAAAAGAATAGCTGCTAATGATCCAATGGCCGCCTTCTTGGGCAAGGATGAATTATTAGCATAGAAACCATTGAGGATCTAGTCATTTAGCGGGTGTTGGTGGTTATACATGGTACCTGGTCAGTCTGAAATAGCATGGTAATTTGTATCATACAATCAGTTTATTTATTACAATGAAAACTTCTCTTCATCCTCTTCTGTCTATGTTGTGAAAACATACAAGCTGTTCTAGTTCTGTCTTAGTTATACTACTTTTCACACTCAGCAATACATGTCTCCTAGACCGCTGAGGATTTTCTGGTAGATAAAGGACGTGCACAAATCTTTTGGGTGTTAATCTTGCTGTGAAAAATAACGGGGTGCTAAGTCCCTGTTAGAAAACCCTCTGGGCTGTTTAGGAGATAGAATGAGAATTGGCGGTCACTATTCTCCATTCAACACTCCCATTCATCCCTCCCCCCTTATTTCTACTGTGCAACATACGACTAATCAACCTCTTGAAGGGTGATGCTGTTTTGGATGAGCGCCACTGACTCAGTGATTCCTTTGTTGGCATTAAGCGAGATTTCATATCTATCTGCAAAACCAACCAGTCTTTGTCAACACTCACCAAATCCCATCAAAGCAAAACTCGGCAGTATCTTAGATGGCGCCGATGTTCTCTCTTGACAGCCATATACCTGGCCAAAGAGAGCTAACTGCATCCCGTCGCCTTGAACAGACTCCGGAGTCGACTTCGGAATACCTCATTCATAACATTCCTCAGGAAAAAGCTCGTAGGACGATCGCCACTCTCCAACAACATCAATATCAGCTTCTGCAAAGCCAGCTTGACAACACAAACCGATTCGTTACAACGGCGCCTAAGCCCCTTAAGAGAGGAGTAAATTCCTTCATGACCTTTCGAGGTAAGTATACATATCTAACTATGGTCAGATACTGACTGTATGTAGCCTTCTATTCACGGATGTTCGCAGCCTTTCAGCAAAAAAAATCATCAACGCTCATCAAACTGCTTTGGGACGAAGACCCATTTCGTGCGAAATGGTCTATATTGGCCCGCGCTTACACCAGCATCCGCGATCATGTTGGGAAGGAAAACGCACCGATAGGAGTCTTCTTGGAAACAGTCTACCCGCAGATTGGGATCATTGGTGTTGACGTGTACCTAACAAAGATGAATTGGGTTATCGGGCGCGCCGAGGATGGCTCGATCTCTTTGCATCAACATTCTTGTCCGGATTTCGATACATTTTCCGCCCACATTATGAACACTCCTATGACCGAAAAGGACGTCACCTACTACTGCGCATTCAAGGGATATATTACACCCCAGACGAGTTTTCAAATAGCAGGGCCAATATTACAAGGGGGAAGTAGCACGACCACAACACCGCAGCAAGGACTTCTCGCTACGGCTCCCGTTATCAGTTTTAATCCTCCCACACCCCCCACGAAATATGTCCAAAACGCAAGAGAAATCCCAGCATTAGCTGCTGCAAGCCTTTTTTCGTTTGATTTCGAATCGACCGCCAGTGTCACCCCTCTACGCGAGGATTACGAGTGGGGGAGCAACAGCTTTGAGCTTTATCGCCCAAATGAAGGGATTTTCGACTTTGAATCTCAATTTACACAACCAAACAATAGCGCCTGGGACACTTTCAGCATTGAAAATCCCCAAGAACTGCATGATTTCCTCGAGAACGGAGGGTTGCATGACGAGTACTTCTCCCCTGGTGGTTAGTAATCCACTGCGTTTCCGTCGAACGATATTGGGCTAACAGAAATCCATAGTCCTTGAACGATCGGAGAACGCAAACACATAGGAACGTTTAAGGAGGTATAAAGGCACTCTCCCTTCCGGATTCATTTTGAGTAGTAAGACGAAATCAGCACTCTACGTATTAAGCTTCCCATATTCAGTAGTTATGACCATGTCGCTAAGAAATAGCAAACCATATAGTCTATAGGTAGTAAGGTCTTTTTTAAAATAAATGCAAATAGAATTCTAATAAGAATACTCGACTTTATATAATACCTATCTCCTATATTATACTAGGTAAACTTTAACTAGAATTATATACTCTCGCGTATTATTATTATAACGTATAATTTTAGGCTAATTTTAATATCTTAGTAGTACTAATAAATCTTAGTAGTACTAAAAGAAAGTAAACCCTCTCTAGTATACTTACTTATTATGTTAAAGCTTATTAAAGTTAAAAGTACTTTCTTTAATTTAAAATTAGTTTCTAACTTTTTTAGTTTTACTTTATAATTATACTACTTATTAAAATCTAGTAAAATAAAGTTTATAAAGCGAATTCTTTATAAGACTCCTAGGTTTTATTATATTAAAATAAAGTATAGTATAAAAGTTATATAAAAAAAAGGAAAGTACTCTTTTAAACTTCTTTAAATTAAATAATAAACGCTTTAAAAATAAATCTATTTATTAATATAATATCCGAGTGAATATACTCGGTAGTATGAACTATCTAGCTAGGCTAGTTCTACCTATATTATAGTAGTACGACTTTTATACCTTTAACTCGGTATATATTAATAATAGAAATAGTCTAATACTAAGGTTTAGTCTCTTCTTATATTATACCTTACTTATTTAATAATAAGTTAAACTAATAATATTAGAGCTTATTTCTACTTTATTAAATTTTAGTATAAGAGCTTCTTGTCACGAATCACATGCTCACGTGATACTTGTCATAATAAAGAGGCGCAACCCTCGACAGGCACATCCAGGTTCCTTATAGCAAATAGGGATTGCTTAGGCCAGCTAAGCGATCCTTGGATTTCATTTGGTTGTTGTCACGTGATGGACCCCGATGGATCCAGTAGAACGAAGGTTCTATATAAGACTGGCACTTCTGCCATTAGATAGGAGCTTCTTGCTCAACTTAGTTATCAACTTAGTTATCAATCTTATCATATTAGTTTGACATCTTTGATACAAGTAACGAGTTCACTTCCAAGTGAACAACCCGATAGTCTTCTTCTTATCATAGCATACCAACCAGCGAACACCCAGCCAAGTTTAGTTAGCCAGTTTGAGTATTCGTTACACTTCTTTTAGAAATTTAAAGAATAAGGAATAAATTACTATTAAAATAAGAGAATAATACTAGATTAAACTTTTATATAAAGTTAAAAGAAAGCTTTTAATTAGTTTTATAAGATACTAATTCGCGAGCTTAATCTAACCGTAGTATATTAAGTTACTTAGTATTCTGTGAGACGGTTAGCGGGGCGCGGGTTCCGGGGGGTCTGCCCGGGTGAGTTTAGCGGTGCTCGTTCTGGCAACGCGCGGGCCCGTGCGTCGCCGTTTTCGGTAAGGCGTACTCGCTTCGCTCCGACGCTGCTTTTCGACGTCGTCCATAAGAACCCTCTCTCTCCCCTTCCACTTTGGTCGTAACTCTCTTACCTGCTATCTTCACGCTCACTCATGGTCCTGTCTTTTCCGCCCTCTATCCGCGGCGCCTAGTCTGCCTCATTTCGATGCTGGTCTCATCTCCCTCCGTGCCTTTCTATACGAGCTAACTTATGCTATAGTGGATAGACACTCTACGAGGACGATTGTCGGCTCATTTCATCTAGCTGCGAGGGCACGAATTTGATCAAC